CGCTGGAAGGCGAGAGTACTTGTCAGAGCACGTACAAAAAACCTACGTTTTGCATAAGAGGGACTCGGACCATTGTTTTGTGAGGAAAACTAGCCCTTCAAACGTTTTTTGTGCGGTTCTACACTTTGGAATTCAATTCGTGAGTACAGACAAATGAAGTTACCAAGATGTACGTCTACCAATTTATATATTTTGTCTGTGACTCAAAAGAGATATCCGCGGAATTAACTTCTCAAATTGCTTCAAAATGTTACTACGTAATTTACACAATGTTCAACACATCAAAAACAAAGATAAAAATATTTAGTAGCAATATTTACATGAAAAAATAGAGAAAAATAAACTTTGATTTTTCTATGGTCATTAAAAGGGAGCAGAATACCGGATAGAAGAACAAAAACGCCGAGCGATTACACAATCGTCAAAGTATTATGAAACTTCAATCAATAATACACGCATTTTTTATCTTCTATAGGATTCTATTCTAGGAAATAAATGCACTTGCTTTCGTTTCCATTTGCAATATTTCAAAATAAGAACGTGAAAGAGCGTTTTGCTTTGATGTCAAGGTCTATTGCACTCGCCCCCCTCTCTCTCCTCTCTCTCCCTCTGGCGAGTTTTCGCGTTTTTTTCGCGGTTCCAGTACCTTTTGCAAGGCCACAGAAAAGCAAACCACCAATCATTACTTGCTCGTACTAGTGTTTAGAGAAAATGAAGAGAGTATCGAGAAATTTAGGTAATGCTGGGAAAATTCAAGGTCGAGATTTTGAAGGGTATATATGTTTTAGGAGTGCTTGACAAAGAAAAGCGCTCAAAAGATGCGTCCTTTTTTCTGTTTGTGAACAATGCTAGGGCGTAAAACGTACAGAGTATTTTATCCAAAACCGATAATTCCTCATCGGTATGGATCAACTCATAGTTCTGTGAATTTTAAACAGATCTTTGAATCTTTTCATGGTAATAAAACGAATTAAATGATAGAGGTGGAGTTTTGATTACAACATTGGATATTTAAAAATTAAAGACTTTCTTTTAACCATTCGTTTTTAAATTTAAGAGGTTTTTAGATGGTTGAATAGTTATTAGAATAGAAGTTGCAATGCCATAACACTACTTAACGTAATCAATAAAAGAACCGCAATCTTTTGAATAATATATAGTAAACGAGTGATGAAATTTGTTTTTTATTTTCATAAAATTACCACAGGAAATTAAAAAGAAAATAAGAAATTCAATACCTTCTGCAAAGACCAGCCTCCAAAAGAACAAAGATGAAACTTTCTCAATACCCTTTTGTGTACTATTCACTGGATATTTGATATTCACTTAATTCATACCAATTCTTCACCTGTAACGCCTCTGTAGAATAAAATTTTTCATCTTTATCCTTCCACGCGGCAACTTATGAAGCTCTTAAGTTGTTCGCAGATTTTGTTCACTGTCAAAGGATATTCTATAATATTTTTAATTTTGACTCGACCTTTCTTTTATCTTCACGTAAGGAATCCTGTCAAAAAATTCCTGTTGGCAAAGGAGGAAAATATCCACCCTCCCAGAGAAATGTTAAGAGAGCTTCGCGAATGGGATCAAAGCGGCGGCCGTGCCGCGCTTTGGGAGCAGAAAGAGAAACCACTCAAGTAAAAAGATGTCGCATAAAAGATATCTTAATGAGGAAGACAAGACGCGTGCGCGCGGGCGAAATGAGGTGAAGTGCTGAGTGCATTTTAATACGCCCGTTCCTTCCGGCCCAACGGTTTGGGCGCAACAGGTCACTTTTGCCGGTAACCTCTTGGCTCTGAGCCGACCGCGGCACTAAAATTCTACCGGGCCTTCCAAACTTTCTTTTCTCGTCTGCAATTAACGTGTTAAAATTTAATTTGAGCTTTTTGTCGAAAGTTGTATTGCATATTTTTGTCACTGGTATGTGTTACATTCCCAAAAGATGCGAGAAGACAGTAACAGAGAGATACTAAACGTAGAAGACATAACGTTTAGACGTCGGTTCAATTATGATAGTTTTTATAAAGCTGACGTGGAGGATTTTTAGACACCTCATGTAGACTTAACCTCCTGTTACCTCATGTTACAATAATTCCATTTGTTGGACAAAGACAATACTCAATATACTTGACTACTAAACTTTGAGAACTTATTGCGCGCTCGTCACTTGAATGCCAGCGTCTTTAATGAAATGCAATGTAGTGCAATAAGCTTATTTATTTGACTTTCTCGTGTAATGCTTGTGTAGTAAAGAGAAAGATTTGAAATATTGCAGCCAAATTTCGAAACGAATTCGCACCCTGATACCGAAAAGTGGATAATTCTTGCTTCTCCATGTACCTTAATCTAATAAAGCTGCGCACAGGAGCCACTTGCCCGCATGCGAAGCCCAGTGCTTCTAAAGGCACAAGACACTTCCACTGACTCCGCTCTCGTTTCCCCTTCAAAGCCAGAAAGCGGGGTTCGTGCTCAAGCTGAAAAGGGAATGTAACCGCAAATAAAGCTACAGGCATCACTTACAATTGTGGTTTCCTACGAAAATATGTTTTGCTTCATGTTTACCATCAAACAACCGATATTCAACATATACACTATATAGACTATACTACTTGTTATATAATTGAAAAAAATCGTTTTAGTGCTAATGTTTGCCAAGGACAAGAATATGTTTAAAAGGCGAATTCTTTGCGTGTTTTCATTTTTTATTATGTTTTATTAAATCATTGTTATTTGTATTTTACCGCCTTGTATTTGTAGTCTCCCCAACATTTTTAAAATTTTCTGTAATAATGCCTATCAATTTCTTTATTAAATTAGATAGAGTAATGCCCGAATAAAAATGACACACATTCAATTTTCATTTAATTGTCTGAATTTTGGCAAGTTACAAAAGTTAAACGTTTTCGGCGTCTTCCTACAATTACAATATTGAAGATTTTTGTCAATGAAATATGTGTTTTAAAATAAGATATTTAAATGAGATCGCGTCCATTTTCTTTTCAAAACATGAGTAGTTTTTATGCAAGTTTTCGTGACGTAAAGGCAATTTTAAAAACAATTTATTTTAATAAAATTGACTCTAAATATTTTTTTGTTTTTTTAGACGGTGCAAGAGAAGCTAATTAAAATGATGCAGTATGATTTTCGTTGAACTCCTTCAATTTCCAAAAAATGCAAAGATTACAAATAATCCGATAAAGTATGTGCTGTTGTAGCACCACTATTTTAAAACATAATTTATTGTTCGTTCATTATGCTGGATTTACACGTGCCGGTAATAAATGTATCTGAGCCCACGAAAATCCTAATGCAGTGCGAAAGGAAACATCACAATAGTTCATTCCAACTATTTGGGATGCATCATTCATGATCATCATGTCGGCTCCCAATTCGTCTTTCCACGCCTGACTGTAAGCGAACACACTGAACTTAGCTTTTGTCAGAACCGAGGTACAACGCTTACGTGACAATTTATCTCCGAATAGGATCCACAGAGTATGATTTATTGACGATGGTGATTCAGCTCACCTCAGCCAGAGAGTCCGAGAGCATTTAGATAATCACATTACACGAAAAACGGATTGCTTAAAGGCTCACTGAACGACCTGCCAGATCGACCGATTCGATTTCAGTGGATTACTTCTGATTACTTGAAGCATTTGGTTTACGCAACTTTTGCATCTGTTTTCATCATCCTTAGAGAGCGTATTGAAAATGTTTGTGATCCATTAAAGAATACTTCTGAAGTTTTCAAAAAAGTACACCAAAGCATGGGAACTCTAAGCTTCGAATCCTGTCGGTGACATGTATTAGATACCAGCTAAAAAACTGGGTCGAAAATTGCAATAGACATGGAAAGGAGTCCTACAGGTACATACACTTCGACTGATTGGACGATTCTGTGCCTTCCTCCGATTAACTCTCCACTCCCTCTTTTTTTCTTCCGGAGGATTTTTTCAGCCTCAGATGATGCCTATTTTAGACTATCCGCACTTCGACCCTCATGGGGAGACATTAAATATCTAAATAAGTACTCTGTGAACTCTGAATGTGAATCTGAATATGATGCCAAAGCCATTAAAATTTAACCTATGGCATTTGAAGCAATCTGTAGTCTAACCGATTTAAAAGGGATTAGGGACGTCAAATAATATACGAAATATTTTATTTCTCAATTAATAATTCATCATGAAACATTAAACAGGCGTGACATACTATATCACTTTATATACGCCAACAGAACTTGCCTTTAACTATAATAAACTACTTCGGCTTTCCCGCGTGTCAAACTCTATATCTATCTCTCACAACAGTAGTGCCAGTACCATTACATTAGTGCTAGCGAGGGCTACAACTGTAGCTCGAGCGACTTAAAAACTATCTGACAACAATAATCTTGATATGAAAAGTTCGTAAATACACTGGATGGTAAAAGTAATGCGCTATATGAAACTATTGTGTAATTCATGTCTCAGTTATTACCATATTATTAATTTTAATACATATTTTATATTCGAAATTATTTCAAGGTACCGGCGATTAATTTGGTGGAACGTGTTCTCTTCTTATATAAATAAGCATACTCTAAGTGTTCATACAACATACTTAACATTTCAAAATTGTAAGACAATCTCGATCAGTGTATTTAAGAACAAGACAATAATTATTAAGTGTGGAAATAATCGCTAACGTTCACCAAATAAAAGTAATTCTGATGGATCTAGATTTAAAAAGAGTGACAATCTTGTACTAGTTATAATAAAATACTAATAGATGGACGACAAATGGAAGTATCAACAACATATCATTTATCGCTCTGGCTTCTATAGTTTTCACCCGTTACATACACATGCGGAGCACACATCCACGGCACATACATGGATGTAGCGCGGGCGCCAAATCGCGCTGAGTCAATTGACGAGTAGCTGCAGTGACCTCGTCGCCCTCCGCACTATTTAACTCGCTAAGCAGTTCCTGGAATCCTTGTAACCTTGTAAGGCTGGCTGGCGAACGCCATTTGCTTCCATTGTCGTCCATCGCCGCTAAGAGCACAGTGGGCAGCCCGCGCGTCGGGTGGCAGCGGCGGCCGCGAGCGCGAGGCACCGAAGGACGGAGAGAGCTACCGCTGCCAGGGGCGCCGGTCGTCATCGCCAGAGGGCAATTCACCACCGGCAGCGGTTGTGCGCGCGAAAGCAACCGTTGTCGTTGGTGTGGGTTGTGTTCGCAAGAGCTTCTGTTGTCGCTGCAGCGATTGGGATTGTGAATGCTACCATTGCCGCTGGCAACAATTGTGATCGCGACAGCAACTCACAGCGGTATTGAACTTGAAAGCTACCATTGTCGTTGATAGCGGTTGTTTTCGCGAGAGCTACCCTTACCACTGGCAACTGTTGTAAAAGTTAGAGCCACCGTCGCCGGCGACATTGGCAGAAAACGAGAGAACTACCAATCCCGTATCACTGCCAGCGTTAGTTTAGTCAGTGCTACCGTTACCAGTAGCAGCGGTTGCAGGTTCTAAAAGTACCGATCCGGTGACAGCTGGTTTTGTGAACGCGAGCAGTCAGCGTCACTTTCACCAAAGCCGTTGCCCCAGTAGTCTGTTATCACCTGAACGGCCGCCGTTGCACGGAGCGGCCATTCGTAGAGAGCCCCCGGGGTTTCCCCGCCCGGAAGCGTGTGCCCGCGGCAGCGGTGGTGTGTCGAGGCGGGGCGGAGGGGGGGGGGAGATGCCGTCGGTCGGCGCAGCGGCGGCGCGGCCTTGCGCGGCGCTGGGAGCCTAACGGGCGGGCGCGCGTGCGGTGCCGCAGCGCACCAGCAGCAGCGCGCGCCAGCACGGGACAGAGCGCGCCCTCGAGCGGTCGCAGCACGGGAGCTCGACCGCGAGACTGCGCGAGCAGCACCGCGAGCAGCTCCTTGCACCAGCAGCAGCAAGGCAGCAGCAACAGCAGCAGCAGCAGCAGCAGCAAGGCCAGGGAATGCCGCTCCGCCTCGCTCCAGTCCATGTGAGTACTGCCACTCTCCTTGCCCTCCGCATGCCTGGCACAGCTGTTTGTCTACGCTTGAAAGGCTCTTCCTCTTGCAGCGTTCTCTTGGAATATAAAGCTACGCCGCAGTAAAAATCTTTCCTGGAGGTTGTAACCTTGTTAGGTATTAAGTAAGGAAGCATCTCCCCATGGTTGACCACGGAGAAAGTGTAAACAGGGTTCCACTCTGCTTATCATAGCTCCGTACAAAAAGGAGTTAAATGTACTATTGCAATGTTTCAAACACTCCTCATTTCCATACAATGTAGGCTTTCACGGCCGGTTTCCACATCAACATCAGTTGTTTCCGGGCTTGAAGGCCGTGGTCCAATGGAGACTTGTCCATACGTTTCGCCTGCAACTGTGGCAGGCATCATCAGTGGCGTTGCTGGCGGGGGCGAAGTGTCCTTGTTGGCAGCACCGCGTTGACTGACGCTCCCGCGGCTCTCATTTCCCTTGAAATATAAAGGTAGACTGCATATTGAAGTAAAAGTGCGGTAAATAATTCGGTGTGACACAAGTGTAGTCATATTGGATAAAATGCTTAGTCACATCCATTAATTGCAGTCCTGTGTGAACGTTGCTATTTTGTGACTTGTTATTGGCTTATTTATAGTGGCTCCTTTAAACAAGCTCGGTCCCTTCCCATGCAGATACTAACTTATCAGTTTCCTTGATACTCCTCTCAATTTCACTTAGAAGATAACTGCATTCCTCCCATTTTCGAAAAGTTTAGTTTTGACAAAGGGAATCAGGCAGAAAGAATAAAACAGCAATCAAATCAGGCGGCAAATAAAACAAGAACTGCAGTACTTAACTGTTTCAGTAGTTTGGCAATGAAGCAGAGCTTGATCACGGAGAAAGTGAGAAGAGGGAACACATTCTCCTGATCATCGCTCCATACAAATGGAAATTCATTTTAGAATTCCTAAGTTATTCACACTCTGTATACCGGCTTAGGTGGTTCAAGGCCTTCAACTGATGTAACTGCAGTGCATCTGACTCGTGTTCGGATACTTTCGGTGCCAGAATTTTTGATCCTAGAAAGATCATCTCAATTCAGTCTCTTTCTGGAGGAAAATTCTAACTACCTACAACTCTGATCGGTAGTTTTCCGTGGTTTCTCCAATCAATACTAGACGAATGCCGGAGCAGTTCCTTAACAAACGATCCAAGGACGACGTTTGATCTCTCCGTCCTCTTCTTAGTCCTCTTCCCATCACGTACACACCCTTACTTAAACGTTGGCTATCAAGCATTGCAGAATTTGGGAGCTTAGTCTTTCCCGCCTAGTGTGCTGCTCTGCTAGTGGGAAATACCTGGATGGGCTGATATGTAGGTCGACGCCCCACCATCCAGTGGGAGATCACCGCCAACGCCCGTGGTACACATGCGCTATACTTATGGGAATAATGACCCTAGCCTTTTAGGTATGTCCGTAGCAATCAACACAATACCAATCCCAAATAGTTCACTCAGTTATATTCTTCTTCGAAGGGGGTGGATATTACGTTCAAAAGCAATTGACTTTGGCATTAGAACGGATATATTCCTTATCATCTTATTACTCGAACGTTGGCACATTCTTTGAAGATCTAAATGCATATTTCATTTTTCTCTTGTAAATGTTTGAGAGACTCTCTTCACGTTCCCTGTGAATTAACATTTTTTTATAAAACACGGTTATTTTGAACATGTCAAGCCCGCAACCCACTTCGAATTTCTCTTTATTTTAGTTGTGGCTACTGAAATATTCCGTAATGTTTTTATAAATTTAATGCCATCTTCAAAATAGCTCATTTTATTCATCACATGTAAATCAAAAGATGACATGTATCATCGTTTGTAACAACAGTTTTTGTTCTTTTAAGCAACTAAAACACATATTGGGTCAGATACGGCACCTACTGTTTTGATCAACAGCGGACTTGATTACTTATTGACAAAACAAATAGAATGGCACAATTCGTTGCCGGTTTTCTGTAGGATATTCTCGAATAATTCTACACAAACGCCTGTGTTTGATGGTTTTGTAGTATAAAGTATTGCGTAAGCAACATGTTGCCATAGAAGCGTGTAACATATAATGTCAGGGAAGACAAATAAGTAACAGAGTAGTCTGATGAATGAAGAAATTAAAATATGTTTGAAAGTAGTCAGTAAACTTGTATTATTTCAGTAAATAAAATAAATAAGATGTTATAATGATACTGAAGTATTTATTTCTTTATAACCAAAAGGAATTGCAAGCAACATCAACAGTAAGATAATCATAATAGATATTTCTAATATCAGGTTTCAGTGCAACTACGAGTACATTGGTGAAACGCTGAGAATTACTTTACTCTTCGGCATTTATGAACATAAATGATTAATACTTCATTCATCGGATTGACGATAATAAAAAATATTTTTATAATGAAACACAAATTAAATATTTTAATTGACCTTTATCTTATCACTTTTTAAGTCTAAAAATGGTCGAGCAAGGCAACTATACATTTTTAAAAAAAATTGTTTCATCGAGAAGCTTTAATGCTACACCCGCCGAGAACGCCATGCAGATTTCAGTAATATGTCAAGGTAATTTATCGACAAATTGGGTTTTCAGTAAGGAAACTCGTTCACAGAAATATAGCAATGCAATGTTTTATCTCCACGCAAAGTTCCTGATTTTGATCGCACGTAGTGCCTAAATAGCATCCATGGTTTCCTATGCAGTATTATCGAAACCTGGAGGAAAACGGTGAACAACAATGGACTGTCGTTTTGCAGGGGATCTGTAAAAAGTTGTGCATTTCACAAAGTTGTGTTAACTTGCATTACAATTATCAATGTCCATGACCAAAGGGCCGTGAAAACACAGAACGGACGCTGTCAGGTTTAACGCGCACTCTGCTTTAATAATCACAAGACATGCGCACGATAGTATGCCTCGCGTGGCATTGGCGGGAGGAACTTCCGGGACTTCATGACATAAGAGCGAAGCACTTGCAAAGCTTCATCTTCATTCCCCCCTTTAGGTTAGATGAACCTATCATTTTTTTATCTTCAGCGTCTCGTTCTTCATATTCATCAGCTTGTTGGGTCTTTCAACCTTTATACGCAATAATTCTCTAAAATTGTGGTTGAGCAGAGGATATGGATAATTTGTATTTTGGAGCTGAACTTGGTAATTCTGTTTTAGCATCATTGATCTCGTGCTTCTATGTTGCAGTTTTTGGATTTAGTGCGACTATTGTCAATGTAAGTTATTCTGGAATTAATTCATGCCTTATGGATAGTTTTTTTTGTCACTTCCGGCATTACTGCATAAATCACATTTGTTCTCTGTTTTATGGCTTTTCATCCTAAATTAGATACCTGTCTCATAACTTTATAATAACGGTTCTATGACCATATTGTAAAGTCAATGTATATCCCCGATTTTCATTAATTTATTTTTTTTTCAAATTATTTAACCCTATGATATCTCTATATGAAAACATTTCAGTTCAAGTTAACGAGTGTGAAGATGTTTTGAAAGATTCACAAATCATAAATTTCAAGAAAATTATCTTATTAGACAAAACGTACGGGAGTACACTTTCCAGTTAATTATTCAGTTAGTATAAACGCACAACACATAAATGAACTGAGTAAACGAGAATACATGGCCTTAATAAACAAAAACTGACAACAGTTTTCCTGTGCTAGTTTTTTCATACTCATCCTCTTCAAGTTTTCATCTATATCTCTGATAAATTACCCGATGAAGGAGTAAAATTTCCAATCGTTATACAGTCCCTGAATATTTTTGCACAAATAGTTGCAGGCCTTGGTGCAGTCTTCCACCATATTCCTACGAGCACCCACATGTGACATGAAGTAATCTGGATACATGGAGAACATTCAGCTGACAATCAGAACCACCTTCGAGTTCCTGGCGTTGTAGCCACATGCTGTTTGGAATTCGGACTGCACGACTTTCATATCTCATTCACCACTCGGAGGTAATACGCAATGCCGAATCGAATTTCAATAATTAAATCATTTGTATCCTTAATGCCCTCAGCAGTGTTTAAGAGTACTTTACAGAATTCGATGTGTGCATTGCACTAAAATTAACTGTCGAACAAATAGTGTGTATTGACGGAATGATTTTTGACTCTTCACAATTTTATCAATTAGGTCCATTTCGCCTCTTTTTTTGTAGTGTGTTGAAGTATGCTGAGAAGAGGCGGTGACGCCGTGCTGTCCAGGACCTGTTATTTGGTTTGGGATTCGCGTGCACGCCAGTCTGGTTATGTTTGCTCCATGATCCAATCACTAGGTACGACTATCTGACGCAGTAAAAAATTCCGGATGTTTTTTCTCAACGGTTCTATGTTCTTTTGGGTGCTAAATTTGAAATGTATGTTGGCCACGTCGAGAAAGGTAGACTTCGTGGAAAAAATGCGAAAAAAACTTAACATTTTGCACTTTCCAGTCAGCTTTTTGCTTATTTCTTGAAAACGAAGCATTTTGTTATCGCAACAGCCTCTGTATTGTTGTATTAGATCAACATATCGAATTGTGCAAAACGCATTTTCTCTACACTTTTCGTGTTTATTATATTTTAGTTACTTAAGGTAGAGTTTTGCAGGGACTTTGATCGAGTAAACATGTCCCAGCTGATTCCGTATCTGTGTAATAATTCTTTAACAATATTGCATGCACAATAATTATTTTCGGACATTATATAGTAAAAGTAGAGAGAAGCCGCGAGATAGAGGAAATGGAGAGAGCTGTTCTCTGGATTTGGCTAGATAGCCAAAGTGTCACCATCCTTCAGCGGTCTGTAGCGCTTAAACAGTTTTTCAGAAAATTATCCTTAAGCTATGCTTTTAAAACGAACTTTTGTCAACTTCAGTTTTGTAAGTAGTATCTGTTTCGATACGATGCTTTGTTCGCGATATTTAAGTGGAAAACTGGAAAAAGTGTGACATTATTGGGGTTTTATGACATTTTCTCCATGAAGCAAAACATTTTTGTGGTGGTAAACATACATTTCGATTTTAGCGCCCGGACAAAACATATACTACCGTCGAGAAAAAAACTTCCGGAATTTCTTTTCCTGGATCGGGCTCTTTCGAGCTCCAAAAGACTGGACCATAAGGCCAGGGTCTGGGCCCAGCAGGGCCATCGTTCCAGCTCTCCACCCTGCAGCTGGCCGGCGAGTGCGTTCGTGGGCGCGAGTACGTTGCAGCGGTGTATTGTAATATGGAGGCGGACGACAAATCGAGGAGTCTCAGAATAAATGTTACAAAATTTAGGGCAAGCGAGAGGTCGAAGAAAATGACATGTAAACAAATAACTGTGTTTCATGTGGTATACACAATAAACAATTCTTTAACAGCTGTCTTTAATCAGTTTGGGACTTTTTATTTCATTGTCAAAAATATTACTTTTTGTCAATAAACGTGTTCTATCACATACTCTTTGATAAAAAAGGGTTCATTTCCAACCCTCCTAAAAGCCCTGCGAGTTTGGAATATTTAGTCTTCGACTTCCTGTAGAGCAAAGAAGTTTGGGCCGAGTATTGCGTGTCTGCCCGAGTTGATTGGGGGTTACCCCGGAAGCAACATAGCTGAATCTTCTTTAGAATTCTCTTTCATACGGTGCATAAGTTGTTCATCGGAATTACTTTCTAGTGCAGAAAATTTGCAACTCTCCGCACTTTATGTTGAAGAAATAGTCGTGATTAGAATTAATTTCATACCGCAATACCATCCCTTTCACAGATAATTCGCCCCATATTTATCACCCAACACATCACATTATACGCATAAGAATGTTCGTGAGTCATTTTTACGTACAAAATATATTTCCTTCATTATATTTTATGAAAAATCCATGTTTTTGAACATTTTACGCATAAACACAATTTGATCATATCTTATTACAACATACTTGGCTTCCTAGAAGGAATGCAAGTTGAGAAATAGAAGTTTACTTATAATTAACCAATATTTTGTTATTGGCAGATTGTAGCTATCATTTGACTTTAAAATGATGTTTGACGTTCCCAAGAGAATGCAAGTCTCGTTATATTCGCACTTTTTTTCAATCGTAATCAAGCAATAAAGAAGAGCACAGTTTGGCAACGCCTCTTCTTCTAGCGGCCGTCTACTACTCTTGTTAGCGCTAAAAGAATAGCTGCAGTCAGCAATAATAGGCTCTGCCGCGTAAATCATCCAGGAGGTTACGCAACGGGCCTTCTTCGCGATCACAGAACGAGAAGGGTGAGTCATGCGGTAAGAAAACACTGAGAAATAAAACGAGAGAGAAAAGAAATGAATGGAACCATGCGAAGACACGACAAGGAACTTTTTTTAAAAAAAAGTTCTACTTATACGTGGTTGAATCTTTCTATACGAGTTATAAATAAGGTATAGTGTAAAGATGACTGAATGTAAGTGTATAGTGTTCGAGATGACTCGTTAACAGCAAAGCATTAATAGCGGCTATTAACCTCACTTGTTCATGAAAAAAGACATAAGTGAAGTGAGTTGATAAATTCAGTCTCTAATGAGGGATGGAAATGTTTGGTAGATTGCTCCAAAATTAATGTTAGAATTTCTGATACAGTATTCCCATGAGCTGAAATTACCGCGTACTCGTATGCTCCAAAATATTTTACGTAAAAATTATTAATAAGAAATAGAGAGAAACGTTACACATCTGTGATTTTTGTAATGCAATGGGCTTTTATTTATAAGACAGACAATTTTTTACTGTACAATCGAATGTACTACTATACTTGTAGTTGAACATTTCCTTTCGGATATTTTCTGATGAAACCCGGGAAATATTCCGAACGTGTGGACTATCAATACTTTTCTCTCTTAAAATCTGGAATGGATATTTTAATAAGGGGTTAAAAATAAGCGTA